GGCTGCACTGCATTTAACCCTAGGGATAAAAATCAGAGTACAGCATACAATTAAGCAGTCAGCAACCTTTTGGTGCAAAACCAAAAAAACTACATTAAAAGCATCAGCTCCAGACATATACAAGATGACCTTCAAGAAAGTATACAACACATTTGGGGAAAAAAGATATAAATGCATGATTTATAAAGGCATCCAAATTAAAAGTTTCTGTCAATGTAATGGGAAGACATTTATTAAAATTGGGAGAACACATCTACTCTGGCAGCAGCTGAACTAAATTAATACTTGGCTGCCCCCTCAATTCTGCTGGAATACACACACGCCTGGTTACTCCTTCAATTAGTTCTGTAAAACACAACAGCTGTAGTAATAAACTTCTGCTACTCTGCAATGTCATTATCACCTAAGAAAAAAAGTTTCCTTTTAAGATTAAAAGAGGTGTTGATACACCTTACCAAATTTCTAGAAGTAGTCTAAGCCTTCATCCACACTTCAGAAACAAACTACTTCCTACAGCTGGTTGAAACAATTGTCCAGACTACTGTCCTTCTGGACAGGTATATGGATGAAAATAATGGGTTTTTTTTTCTTCCACTGTGGAAACTGTGGGAAAAAAAAGCAGAATAACATACCAATGGCCAGTACTTATGCAGCTGCAAGAGAAAGAAGGCAGTCACTCTCACAGGTTTTAAACAGATCTAATTTTTAAGCTGCAAAGCAGATTTATATCCCCATATAACTTGAAAAATAAAAGCCCCCATGCCACTTCTTGTGCCTTAGCAAGAATAGCAGTCAAAGCTGGAAGTGTAGTACTCCTGCCCTTAAACAATCTTCAAACTACTGCTTAAAATTAAAATATTTACGAATATTAGAAGTCTTATGAACAAAAGAAAAATCTATAATAAACTTGACTCCAATTACTGTGTTCACAAAGTACTTACCAAACACTAAAAGCATTTATAAAGTACACTTCAGGCAGAAGGAACTTTTCTGGAAAAGCGTTTTATTTCAAGTCACATATGTGCAATAGCACAGATGAAATAGCACCTTTACTTTTCTCCGCTTATCTTCCTTCCCATCAATAAATTATTTTAAAATAGGCACTGCTTTGGGACCAATACATCAATTTTTCCAAGATGCCATCACAACACAGGAAGCAAATTGTACCTCCAAGTCATGTAGTCAGCACAGATTACAGAAAAATTACCTTGCAGAATTTGGATCAAGGTTACTGAAGTAGACTAGGAAATCCTGCTCTCACTTGCACCACTGAAATGCTCTCCAACAGATCTGGTTTAAGAAAACTAAAAAATTGAAGCAGACACAGGTGATGCAGAAAACCATGTTAAAAGGCCTAATTAAAATTAAAGGTTGATGAGTGCAGATTACGCTTGTCACAAAGAATATTTGTAACTTTCATGCCAGTTACTTTTATGTCACTAGAAAATGTTCTACCACCCAGTAATGCTTTACAGGGAGTGGCACAAATGAGAAGCAAAAAGCCAAGACAAGAGCTTCTGGTACTGAATGACCCTGTTGAAACTGACATGCAGCAAGGGAGATGAGTTGAGGCTGCTCCGGGGAACGTTAACTCTGAATTTCTTTGTTTTCTTACAATAAAGATTTTGAGACCCCATGTAATTCACTACATCACTTCACTAAGCCCTGGAAGCAAAGGCACCTCCCAAAACCACAATGCCAAGAGCACCCAGAAAATTCTTAAGGACCTAAAGGTATGGCCACTACCTACTTCTGTATTTCCTCTACATACATAAAGATGACTTCAGCCTCTAGCGCTGCAAAGACAGCATCTCTGATAGGTACCTTTTTTAAACCTGTCGTTTAATACTGTTTCTTATGGTATCTTACAGGTAGGAAGCTGCAAGATACAACCAACACACACTGCAATTAAAATCTGGTCTGTAAGGATTGCATTGAACAAGACTGAAAGCTCTCATATTTCCCAACAAATGCTTCCCCCATCCCAAAACCTAAAACATCCAAACAACAAACAAGCAGGATTTAAAAAAAAATTTAAAAAAATTTACATTTTTCTTCCACATTCCAAGGCTTTCAGATAAGGTGGTGAGGGGAAGGAAATTAGATGATCTTACCCAGAGGCAAGCATCATGTACAGTACCTTGGAAAAAAAGAGGGAAAAATATTACACAAGTCAGCTGGCTCAGCAAGGATTAAGAAATATCTTGATAAACAGCTAATGATAGCAAAGGCAAAGCTTTTGGCCCTAGTTCAGAGAAGTAATTGTTCCCACCAGAGTACACAGAACCCCAAGAAGGGCTTCAGTTTCACATGGCACAGGAAAATTTTCACAGCCTTACAGCCTTTCTTTCATAGCTCCATTGGGTGGGTGTACACCAAGTAATATTAAGGCCAGTGGCTAAAAGCATGCAAGACTATAAACAAAGTTCTCACAGGGCAGAAGTGACCTGTCCTTTCCATCAAAGCATGAAGCTGATGGAAATGGAGAACAAACTTTAAGTGGTTGTGCTACTGTGACATCTCGCTGCTACAGATGGGTCTTTACAGAGCATTTAACTGCTTTTTCTCACACATACATATACCTGAATAAATACCCAACCACAACTGAGCTTTATAAAGGGTTTCTTCAACAACCCCTGGCATTTTGAAGAAGCCACCACACTTTCAAATATCCAGCAGCAAATTTTGCATCCAAAACCCACTGTAAAGTAAGAAAAAGCATTTGCCAAGTCTCACAAATATATTCAAGGTTTGAGTCAAGAAAGGTTTGCTTTCACTGGGAAAACTTATTCTGCTATTTTTCCTGCTGACTGCTTGTTTTATGTGGGTGGGGTAGAGTTTTTATTGTTCTGGACTGCATTTTAATTGATGGCAAAGTGCCTGAAGTTTGAGATTGACATCTCCTCCATTGTTTTTGTTGAGATAAATAAATGTAATTCCCTCCTCTTTTTTAAAATTGAGATACACGCCATATTCTCAACTGCTAAAAACAAAGCAAGCTGCTACAAAAAAAACACCTCCAGAAACAAATAAACAAAAGCTTTCAGATGGCACAAACAATCTGCCAAAGTCCTGCTGCAAGGAATTCACCACCCAAAAGCCTCATCCCTGCTTACCACCCTCTGAAAAACCCTCAAAGACTAAGCAGCAGAGATATGACTGTGGAGGCCAGCAGTGGCTAAATGTTTGTGTAGTTCTGAGGAGACTGAAGATCAGATACTGGCCTCAACCTCCAGCATCAACAGCTACAAGATGGGAGCCTATTAAATGGGTAAGATATGTTCTCAAGAGAAAGTAAGACAAATTAAGAACAGCTTGAAAAGGAGTTATAAAAGAGTTTTGTTCAGTACTGAATGGAGAGTCATTGAAGCAAATGCAGAACGGGAGGGAGTGAAGGGGTGGTCTATCCAGGAAGACATGGCTATTTGAAAAGAAACAACCACAAACCAACAAAAAAACCCACCCCCTTCCCCAAACCTACAAGTATAGCCTTATATTAATGAAAAAATCCAAAATTTGAAGGTTTTGTTCACAAGCAACATGAAAACAGCACCTATATCAAAACCAACACTAACCAGTCAACATCTAAAGCACCTCCAGAGCACTTTAATGGAAATATGTTATTACTGATGCTGCCAAAATAAGATGTTTTTATAGTATAGAAACATTCACCATCTGTTTTCTGACCTAGTAATTAGAAAACTTCCCTGCTACAACCTGATGCAAAGAAAAGAGGTCCTAGGTTTTTGCTCAGCTATTGATTCCATGCCTACTACAATAGTACTTGGCACTGCGATCACTCCAATGTTCTTCTGCTATTCCAGGGGAGAAGCAAAAAAAAAATAATAAATGAACCACACGCACGCACGACCCCACCCAAACAAGCAAGCTGGAATTCTTCAAGGAGAAATAAAGTGTCAGCACCAAGCTAAATTGTTCTCATTATCCAAAGAATTTAAAAAATACTTTAATATTACACTTGCATGAAAATTGCATGAGCTCTTCATGCCAGGCAGTGTTTCAGCATGCTCCCCAAGTGCACACAATCAAAAAACATATGACAAACTGTTGTCTCCCAACTGATTAAAGTATTTCTTCCTGGCATAGAAAAGCACGTAGTTAACTGCTGTAAGTCTGGGTCAACAGAAGTATTCCACCCACTACCAAGCACAAAGTTCAAACCTGAACACAAATACACTTCAAAAACACGCAGCTTCTGAAATATGAGAGAAAGTATGTCTGAGCAACTTGTTACCAACCGTGAGCTACTTGATGAATTGAAAGAACCAACACAGAGTTGGACAAATCCAACTACACTGTGTCTCTCTTGAGCACATTTGGAAAAAGTGGAATGTGCTACAATACTTCTTTCCAAAACATCATACAGCAATAAAGCCACATCAGACTAACACACACACAAAACTAGAGAAAGAAAAGACTACATATAATTTTAATATGTCTTAGTTTCTTTCTATTGTGGTATTGACTTGTACGGCAAAGCCCTTCAGTTCCAGATACCATAATCATCCAGAGGAAGTGATTTTGAAATGCCTAAAACTGTGGGTACGCACTATGAGCACAGTCTTAACATACCATGTAAGATGAAGAGACCCTGTGCCTTTACAGTTTTAAAGAGCTGATAACCACTATTGTTCAAATTCTAAATGTCACAACCCACCAAAATCTAGCAGTTTGTTCCATGGTTGATGCAAAACCCAAGATAAAATTCATTTTTTCATATTCTTTTTTTAAACATAAAACTAAACCAAGTTATTTGTATACAAGAGTTGATGTCTTACCAAAAGAGCTTCCAGTATTTTGTACTTTGATACTCAAAAGACAGTGAAACCAGGCTAAAAGCAGCTTGCTCCATTCCTAAATAGTTTCAAAAAAACCCAGGTAACTGGATCACAGCTGTTTTGAAGAACAGGCACATTAACATTCAGTAATTATACCTAGAAGGTATCTTGTATGCTTTTTTTCTTACAGAAAAAGCCTACCTGTTTACTTTTTGTGGCCTTTCCCGCAGGATTCTTCTTCCCTTTAGCACCCTCCATGTTTCTTAAAACATCGATGAAATCTTTCTTTGAAACAGATGACAGCAGTTTAGCACGTTGCCTCTCAGAGCTCCCACCTCTCTTCACCTTCTCATCAATGTTCTTTTGGTGCGTCCTGACAGCATTAAATAATTGTACAACACCCCTGGGATGGGGAAAAAAACAACAAAACAAAACAAAGTTTTAAACTCAAGTTCCCTTGATAGAAATGAACCCTGTACCGAAGCAAGTAATCAGTGCAGATGCTGGATGACTTCTAACTCCTCAAAAGAGTTACTTCAGACCTCAATTCAGGTAAGAATTAACATCTACTTCCAATTTTCAGTCTTCCTTCATACTTATTGCTAGGAACCAGTATCAAAAAACCCACAAATAACTATTCACACCCTGAAGTAAGCATGGTAACAGTGCAAGAGCACGTCTCTTCCCCATATGCATGTTACTTGTACTACAATCAGCTACTAAATTCCTCAGGCAAGATGTTAAGAGCAGCTGAAGTACATGAACAAGACAGAGGAATGAGTAAGGACACAGATACAGACAGCACATCAAGTTCTGCAACACCAAACTACTGCAATGTGGAACAGGCAACTGAACTTAACAGATGTGGATCTGGTGAATTCTCTGCAGAGAAGGAAGAAACAGAGTAGCAGAAACAACCGTTTGCATTTTTAATGCATTTTTAAAGCATTACAGTAACAAATTGAGGGGATCCAACAATGCATTTCTGTTAAGCAAACATTACATTCCCATCTAAATTTTTGCTCTTTCATAAAGCTTCTGAAATCTTTCATTGAACTTGATACTGTACAATGCAGACCTGTATATAAATCACTCGGCTCCTGCTAGTCACTTCTTAAGAGTTCAATCTGATAGGAAACAGATTACCTATGCAGGTCTTTTCTTCCCCTTTTCCTTCTTTTTTCAGTACACATATATTTAAGGAAAGCATTCAGAAAAAACTCGTACCTTGTGGCAGTTCTCTGAAGATTTCTTTCCGTATCTCGGTCTTTGACAACATCTGGCTTCACTCGGCACATCATTTCCCACTCCCGCTTTTTATCAAGCTGCATTATAAATATTGTCATGTGAAACAACATGGAACATTTGAAAACCCAGCACAGATTATGTAGCAAGAGGAGAAAAACAGATAAATCACTGAATCTCGGTTTGGTTTGAGGTTAAGTGATGCTCCAATATGGGACTGGACAACGGGTCTGAGAAAAGTCTCCTGCACAGACACACCGGGGGCCACAGTCAAATCTCAAAAAGTCACTCGCTTCTGTAAACAAAAACTAGAAAAGAGTGGCACAAGAGTCATGCCTCTGACTCAAGACAAGGAAAAGGAATTTAGAAATACTCAAATCCTTTCACACTGGCTTCTACGGACAAGGAAATTATTCAAAGACAGCTTTCAACACCGAGACGTCACAAGCTGATCAGAGAGATATTTACACATAATAAAATCTTGGGTCTATTAAGATAAGCATGTTGCATTTTAAGCCTTGGGAATTTGACTTCCCTTGATAAGTTAATCATGGTACAGCTTTGTGACCAACAGTGATGCACAACAAAGACTACAACTGGCAGAACTCAAAACACCAGGAAAAGCAGCAAGTGCTCACCAGAGAACAACTCTTGTGCACAACACTTATTTTTGTCTTTTTTTTGAGGCACTCTGTTTCAAAACCAAACTGATCTGCTTTCTCATTACCAGGGACTGCAACACCACCAGCTTTTTTTCTGCTGCAACAGGAGAATACTGTATTTCCCCAGCCTCAGCTTCAGGTAGTGAAATATTTTTTTCCCCTTTTACCACTTTAAAAGTGTTCTAGGCCTGATGGTGTAGCATTAAGTCTGTTTTAGGCAAGAAGTCTCTTGTGGAATTTCAAAGTCCTTACCTTTATAATTCCAGGAAGACCACTACAAATTTGTGAGTTTATGACCATGTTTTGGCCTTTTATCAAAAGAACTGCCCTATTCTAGCTTCCATCAGCAATAAATTAATAAAAGGCAAACTTTTCTCAAGTTTTTTATAAGGGTAAACAAGTCAGTTTGGGGATGTGCAGCCCACCTCTGCTTTGCAGTACTCCCACTCCTCCTGCTAATCCCACTGAGATAGAACTGGTAAAATGAGACATGAGAACTACTAATGTATTTTTACCCTGAAGGTAAATCAGTCAATCACAGGCTGGAATTAAAAGTTCCACCAAAAAAACCACAAACAAATGACTAAATTGTCAACATAAGTTTTGTTTTCTTCGTAACAGTTTCAGAACCAGAAGCAATTTAGGGCACAGACACTGTAATAGAAAACTCCTACCAGGAAAATCATTGAGGGGAGCAAATAATGATTCACGACCACGTCAATGATTACTGCAATCTCAACCTAGAGGCCTTTGATTTTGGGAGTCACAGCAGAATTTAAATGAAAGCAGTTTTCTTCTCTTTCTCCCTCTCCCTTTCGAGGAGAACTATTTCAACTTTTAATGCCAACAAAGTGAACTATACTCCAAATTAACAATAGCAATTAGAAAACTAAGCTTAAAGCAGCTGCTTTTACCCTCTCAATAGCAAAACCATCTTAAGTGGATAGACTGGAACAGTCCTGCTGCCAAAGATCAGCCTACCTAATGGCCCAAAAAAACCAGTAAGGGAAAAACTTCTACAGTAGGACACTAAAATAATCTGAAAGTAAAAATTCTGTAGCTACTTGAGGTAACTGTGGAGAAGAGATTCCAAAACTGAGACACACTCAACTGAGCACTCTCCCAAACCCCTGCTGAAGAGATCTTCCATGCATCCCCGTCTGCAAAATGAAATACTATATCTTTTTCTCACCTTCATCCTCTTCTCCAGTCTTTCTTGTTTTTCCCTTTCTCTCTCCTTCTCCAGTTTTTTATTCTTGGCCAAAATGGTGGACTTGTTTTGTGGAATCTTTTTGTTGAGCACTTTTGCCATGGCATCTGCCCAGCCTGCACCTGGGTCAGCTTTGGAGCTTGTTGCCTCTTCAACCACATTGCCAAGGGCAGCTGTTTCATCTTCATCATCACCATCCTGCGCTTCACCTCCTGAAGAGTAGCTGTCTTCTGGAAGATCTGAGCTTAAATCGGAATCTAGGGGTAAAAAAAAGGAACAAAAAAAAATTAAAAATGTATCAGGAGTTCTGTTTCTCATAAGGATCTATCACGCATAATTTGCTCTGTATGTAAATGTTACCTGAATTCAGGGCCATGTGCTACTTGCTGTTAAGATCAATTGCTCAAGCAGGCATATACCATCATAGTGAATTTATTAGAAAGTAGCCAATGCAAGTGCTGGCTCATCTCAGTGATGATCTGAAGTGATTTAGTGATTTAAGAGGTTAGGTAAAAGGGAAAAGGCAGCCTTGGAAATTTATCATTAGATTAATGAATATTTTGTTGCTTAGGAATGGCAAGTTTGGGGAAAAAGCTGTATTTTCCAGGTCAAAAACTGTAATTTGTAGAGGCATATACACACGCATATATGTATGTATGTACACACTTACATACAAACCGCAACAGTGACATCTAGTGCTTAAATGCAAACAACCACATGGACTGAATTGAAGGTAGGAGAGCATTTTTTATATGAGAGCAAAATCTGCTCAAAGAAAGTAATGCCAGCAAAAATGTGATTACCTAAGTATAATGAACACAGAGGCTGCTTTGTGAATTAAAGAATCGAGACAGTTGCCAGGTAGCTCAAAAGAAACCAGAGGCACTGAGCTTTTCTGGTAAAAGTAACTGCTCAAATTCTTGATACACAAATAAAACACCCCCAAATTCAAGTTTCCTTACCCTATGCCCCCTTCAAAACAGAAAAGAAGGAAATAGAGTTAAAATGCTGAAGTCTGGAATCAAGCAACGGCAAGACAGAACAGCCAACTAGATGCAAATAAAAAATGTGAAGAATCTACAATTCCCCTTATTAGTCTGTTCTATGGGTCAAATAACAAAAATAAAGTCTTTAACTGTTCAGATGATTAACTAGAATGAAATGGGCTGCAAGTTTAGAGTGTGCTAAAATATGTGTGTCCAATCAAAATAACCAAACTTTATTGCAATCAAGAGCAGAGCTTACAAGTGTCCTGCCACTATTAACTACCATTCCACTAATACTTGTGCCACCCAAAAATTTTAAATTCATTACCTTATATACAACTTTCAAGGCCGCAAATCAACTGCTGGACAGGAGGCTGTTTCCTGACACCTTCACACTCCCACCAGCAAGGGGACAACTCCCCACCAACTCTGAGACACTGACTGCTTTTCATCCATCTGCCACTCTCACTGAGCCAAGTGCTTTACTTCGCAAGCACTACTCGTAAATTACCTTCATCAACCAAATCATTAAGAGAATGAAGTCAGGACTGCTTCACAAGATGCGTTTTCCATAAAACCATGCAGAAAGCTATTAGTGATATTCCCCATTAATTGCCTATTTAGTTACTTAACAAACATAAACACACACTCTGTTGCCAGACTAACTCATTACTCTGCCTTCTCCATGTGCCTAAAACCACACGTAGCAGCAAAACAGTGGCATTAACCAATTTAAAATAAAGCCTTAAAAACACCCAGGCATGTGTATAGGCTCGAAGAGCGTTTAGTTATCACCAAGGGAAGAAGCAAGATTATATGTTTACATGACAAACATGGAAGAGAAATACTTACTGAACATGTGCTCATTATCTATATCAGTATGATGTTTACTGCCACCAAAGCACCCACACAGAATAAATTATCTTTAGGGTTTTTTCAGTCCTTAGTATAAATTGGAAATTTAAAAGTTACAAGTTTGTTCAACACATTCAGAAACTAGTAAAGGCATCCTTTTTACAGTATCAGTATGTCTCCATATCCTGATTTCCAAGTTAAAAAAAAATAATTCAAACCATTGCATATAAAAAAGTAGGTGCATCACCACATTTCTACGTGTAAAACAATTTGTCAAGTTTTCACCTCTAAGCCTTGCTCGAATATTGCTATCTGGTTTCTAAACGAGGAATGAACCCCTACTTGTGACTTTTTATACATACAAATGCTAACAGCTACCAGAAGTCCAAACTTGTATGCCACACACTGCTTATGACAAAATTCCACCACTAGCTGTAAAAAACACGTTATAAAAAGGAAAATTACAAAAGCATGTCTAAAGTCTCCTTTACACAATATTTTCTGCCAATAAATCAGGAAAATGCTGGATTATACCAACAACGTTTTGCTTTCAACAACTACAGAAATACAAACAAGGCTTCAACAAACAGCTACGACTTATTCTTTAATACAGCAGAGGACCTGTCAACAGCATGAGGCAAAGCAGAGGTGTTTCAAAGTAATTTAAATTAGATTAACTCTATCAGAAGACAGACTTGGGTCTCTGTTCTGAATTGCAAAGACTGAAGCCTGGCAGAGATTTAACATGAGAAATCCTAACCGTGTGTGCGGGGGAAACACACATATACCTATTCTTCTAAACTTGCTCAGTGGTCTAGGTGAGGACACACACAGTTTAAAAAAGCATTCCTTCAGAGATGAGCACTGAAAGCAGCTCCCACACAACGCTTCCCCTTGGCTTCACCGGGCCGTACGGGCCACGGCGGGGGCCGGGGAGGCCTTCGACGCCCGCCCGAGCAGAAAAAGACCCAAACCCCTACCCACTCCCGCCCCTTCCCGCTCTCCTTGGCCAAGGGGAGCCCGTTACCGCTGTCCGCCTCCTCGCCCACCGCAGCCCCGCGTACACGTGGGCCCACCACGGCAGCCGCCATCTTCTCCGGGGTCCGCGCACTATCGTCTTCCGGCCCCGCACCCCGCACCCCGAATCTGCGTTCCGGCTCCAAAGGTTCCGGGCAGGCGGACTTGTGACGGCGACGGCACCTTCCGGTTCTGAGGAGGCGCTGAGGCGACTGGGGAAAGCTGGCGGGATCTGCTGGGGTGTTTTTCACTCATAAAGTGACAAAAATGAAAAAAATAAACAAAGCGGAGAGGTCTGCCAAGGTTTCTCCTCTCCCTCAGGCCCGGGGAGGTCCGTGGATCTCGGGCAGCTCTTCCAGCAGTGGGCAAGGCCCAGCGAGACACTGATGGTCTCTCCTGCCCTGGCCTTCAGGGACGCCATTTGGTGTCACCACCCAGACCTGTCCTCACGCTTCAGTACACAGAGAAGAGTTCAAAGCCAGCAAAGCTTAGGCTGGTTGTTCTCTGCTGATTACCCTCTTCCACCTTTGGGAGCCTCCGAACTTGGCCATGATAAATTGATGTTGTGTTTACTGCAGATTCCATAGTGCGAAGAAGAATTTGAAAGCCTGCCATCACAGTGCTGATATCCCAAAGAAAACCTGGGGCAAGGCCCAAAAGGAGAGCATTTTTTTTAACATGGGGAGAAATGAAAACCTGAATTTCTCTTCTGTTGGCATTTATTTGAGTCAAATTTAAAAAAAAAAAAAAACACCAAAAACAAAAACAACCCAACCCCCAAACATTTCATAGAATCATGGAATGGTTTAGGTTGGAAGGGACCTTAAAGATCACCTAGTTCTAAACCCCCTGCCCTGGACAGGGGCACCTACCACCAGACCAGGTTGCTCAAAGGCCCATCCAGCCTGGTCTTGAACCCCTCCAGGGATGGGGCATCCACAACTTCTCTGGGCAACCTGTTCCAGTGCCTCACCACCCTCACAGGAAAGAGTTTCTTCCTAATATCTAAATTTCCCCTCTTTGAGTTTGAAACCATTACCCCTCGTCCTATTGCTACACTCCCTGTTAAAGAGTCCCTCCCCATCTCTCCTGTAGGCCTTCTTTAGGTACCAGAAGGCCACTATAAGGTCTCTTCTCCAGGCTGAACAACCCCAACTCTCTCAGCCTGTGTTCATATTTATTACATCCTCTTAAAGATATACCATTCGCACACTGATGCTTCAATACTGAATACGTTTTTTCTACACTAGAGATGTCCTCTGAGGATACTCATGGGTGGGTGCTCTCAGTCTTTGAAGTTACTCTGTATATCTATCTGTGGAGTGGGTAGGCTCAAGCCACCTCAGATATCAAATGGCATGTGTGCTCCAGATAGGTGGGTGAGCCATGGACCCTCTGCATATCCAAAATTACCACAAGTCTCCTCTGGGGTGGGCTGGGATGTAAACGTGACAACGTTAACATGACAATTACTGTATCCACCCAACTGCACTGGTCTAATGCTTAGCATGAATAGTTTAAGTCCTAGATCACTGACTGTGCTTTACATTCTCCTACAAATGTTTCAGATTAAGAGTTGAGTATGCTAGACATTTTAGCAAACTCGTATTCAGTTGATGTACTGAAGTCCCTGCCTCTTAATGGTAGTATTTGTTTTAAGCATGGGGTGTTCAGAAGAGCAGGCTATCTACCGTGTGTAGAAAAAAAAATAAATCCCTCTTATATTAGGCTAGAGAATTTGTATCTTAGTAAAATGCTATTTAATTTCTGCACTCTGTATTTTTGTAAATAAAGATTTCATTTGTTGTTGCTACCGTGTACAGTCAGTGACCCGTGTCTTTGTACTTCTGTTATTCCATTTTTTTCTTCCCCGAATGATATGAGTGTCAGCCACGATAGCAAATTCCTTTTGCTACCTCAGTATCAGGTGGAAAAATTAGAAACTGGAGAGAGGTTAGAAAAGAATGAGATACATTATTACATGGCCAGGGAAACTGTTTCACAAGATTATAAAGGCTAAATATGTACATCTTGGTTAAGTGCCAACGAAGGCCAAACAGTATTGGACTTACTGTTTCTACCATAAGATGGTAGAAACATCTACCATCTGGTAGATAAGATGGTTACTTATCTACCATAAGATGTCCCGCAGAACTGCGTGGAAAGAATTTCAGCCTAATTCATTGTTACAAGCAAAGAGAGATGCTGTGCTGAAAAATTTGGGCTTCTACTCCGATCTGCAGAGTAGGAAGGAAAACATAAACCTCCCTAAGATGTTTCACAAAGAGGTCCAGGCGTTGCAGGAGACATAATTCCTAATATTTTACACTACGGGGCTCAAATCCTAGGGTGTCTGCCAATAATAAGCACTAACCATTTGGTGAAGTCTGCTATGCCATGATAAAGACACTTACCATTTGCTTGGCGTGATTCATCTCCGAATCACGTTGTGTCAGAAGGGACACTGCTAGGAGAAGGTTATTAAACTGCATCGGCAAAAAGCTCTTCCAGTATGACAATTACCATTCTCATTTCCTAGGACACACACCTTATTGAACATGTCTTACTCTGGGTAGGACATTTGTCTTGGAAGTATGTCAAAATCTTCAGCTTAAGTCCTGTAATGGGTTCCAATAAATGATGGGTCTGAAACTCCGTCCCTCAGACTAAATTAACAAGTCGCATCTCCAATAGCATACTTCTCTCCACAGGCATTATCCCGAAGCATTTGTCAGCAAATCTGTTGCAAACCTCCTTTCAAATGACTGTCATTGTCTCCCATCACTCTGGTCTGAATGTTCTTCTGTATTGCAGTTGTGGTCTGAGGAACACTGGAGATATAACCAGTCTGCAAAATCTTTCCATTCCAGACAAAGCAGCAGCTCCCTCCCGGTTCATCATTGACAGCAGCATTGTCTGAGAAGCAGCAGAGGCAGAAGCTGGCATTCTGCACGTACCCGTCTGTAGTGAAACCACGGCTAATGAGACAGTGCATGAAACTTTGATCTGTGGATGCAGCAGAGCCAATGTCTGAAAAAAAAAAAATCTGTAAAAAGGACGGCACAGGGATTTGCAACCATAACATTTTTGTCTAAGATTTTAAATGTGTTAATTTTTTGGCGGGCTTAAAGTTTAAATATGAACAATACTGGGATAGAGCCCAGTTGAAGTGGTTACTGCATATTCCTCATTACAAAAATAGCAGTAATGAAATGAAGACGAAACCTCTCTTTGGTTTCTCTGGAGTGGTAGAGCTCCATTCTCTCCTTCTGTGTTCTAGACATACAATGAATGCATACATCATGGCAGTGGACTGTCCAAAGAGACCGATGTCTGCCATATGGTTGTTTCAGTTTGCTTCAAGAAAATAAGTTTGCATGATGCATTTCAACACGCAGACACATGCCCAAATGTGCAGTGGGTTTATGTAAGAGAAAAGAAGGTCAGAGAAACATACCTTGAGCTTAAATGAGGTAGTAAAAACTTTTGTATTAATCCTTAGTTCTTGTTGGAAGGCGCTCCACAGACTTGACTCGTTCTGTGCAAAGGTACTCTTGCTTATGCAGACAGAATTATCCTTACTCTAAAAAGGTCAGTGATGCTGTAGTTATCAGCTGTGGTCTTCATCCCAGAGCGTACCCTCTCAGATATTCTGAGCACAGTCCACTGAGGGCCTTAAAGATAGGGATCCAGTTTTGACTTAATTGCATAGGTGTGAAAGTGAACACAGAGACCTGCTGCCTCCAGTGGCCTTGGCACGAAGATCTTTATGCCTAAATTTTAATAGAATAAAAATTTTAAAATAATACAATTATGGTAATTTGTAATATAGCCTCTTATTCAGTGCTAGAAACCGTTATTGGCATCCATGAGAAGTGAGAGTTACAGCATCCCTCATATGTTTCTGTGGCATTATCTTCAACTTCCCAAGTATTGAGCCCTTATTATCCCAACTAAACAGCTCAGTGTTTCTGACCTGTGATTTCTTTTCCAGCTTTCCCCTATGGCTGCTGCTCTCCTCCTCTTCACTTTGTGAACAAATTGCCTTGACTCACATATATCCCCTGAACAATTGCCCTTTCAGTTCCAATGAAGGCTGAATCCCAAGCCGGTATAATAAAGTTCAAAATCTTTGCCTCTTTCGTAGGTCATATTCACAGCCCAATTCCTGCACTAAAAGAGATCAATAACACCAGATATAAGATGAGCGTAATAAAGCCCTCCAGTGCCCCAAGATTTAAACATGTTTATCCTCATTTCCATTTCTTTGGTTTAGCTGCTGACATGTTTTCCCCTTGACTCTGCTGGGTATTTGCAGATGAAGGAAGAAGAGCAGTTCATGAGTAAATCACATAATACTGTGCTGTCATATAATAACTACTGCTCCTATCTCATATTCAATAAAACTCATATAAACTGACATTTAATAAATCACAGGAAAATACTACCTGGTTCTCTGCAAATGTTTTGCCTCATGAAAGTTCTAGCCCAGCTCCCAGCAAGGTCAAGTGGAAACTTCCTGTTTCTTTCTGTGGGAATTCATTTGGTGCCTGAGCCGCACAACCACCCAGTGAAATAAATCTTAATGTTTTTAGGATGGAAGCACAGGGGGGTAAATACAACATTTTCAAACCTTTATGCCTCTATTTGTGGGCATAAATGCATGTTTTTAAACTTAGCTTAATACCTGTGCAACCATTAACTACCTGAGTGATGAAAACCATTGAAAAGCTAAGAAGAACAGTAAAAAGGGGATTTTGGTTCTGATGCTTGGAGTCATGGACTGAAAAATCATGCTAAAAAGAAATTGTGAAATCTTGCCCATTGAATGCTGTAGGTTATCACGTTGAACGTGTGGAGTAATGCTGGGTCATCTGAAGTCTGTATTTTTGTAACTTTAAGTGCTTGAGTTTGAAACTATCCATATTGTTTGACACATTTTATTCTGCGTGTAGTTATTGATTGTTATATATTAGCTCTCAACCAATACCATGGTGCTATTTGAAATACAGCTTTCTGGTTTAAAAGATATGTAAGTTTTTATGTCATGTTGAGGAGTAATTATTTTCTGCCACATGAATATGAGAAAATGAAA